ACCAGTTTTGCAGGAGTTGCTGGAGATGAATAGGAGGCAAGAATAAAATCTTTGTGAACATCAAGCAGTGTCCAACATCCATTTCCTAAGATAAATTTATTTTATAAAGTAAATTTTATTTTATTCATTGACAAGCTTTCAATGCCAACCGCGGAATCGTGCTGGATACCTTTTTGGATACAGAGAATCAAATTTTTGGTAATATTTTTTTGTCCAAAATGAGCCAAGCACTGAAAGGGTTACATCTTGTATTGTACTCCATGAATTCTGGACAAAAAATTATTACCAGATCTTTCAAACGATTCGATAAACTTCCAAGTGTATTTACGTCTTCAATTTTTAAAAAAGGATTTTAACCCCTATATATTTACCAGGTGTCACTCTTTGTACACTTCCCGTAATGGCATCTATGACAACAATGTCCTAAAATAAACATGCCATATTTAGGCCTGTAATTTTTATATACAGTATCGTGATTCATAAGGGACGTCTATTGTGGGTGGTCATCGATGCTAAAATGCTTTGTCTGTCGGAGGAAATTGTCTATAAATTTAATAACCAGCAATGGATGGTAGAACATTAAGTATTCAATTCAATTGTAGATGTACTGTATCAGACATTATCAGATTTAAAAGAACGTATAATTAATAATATACTTGCATACTTTCGTAGAACGCCGTGCTGTGTCTAAGACAATCATAGATCCATCATCAGACCAGACTCGCTTCACCATCCCTGGGAAAGTACAGTATATTACAAAAAAATACACAAGAAATCAGTGACCGCATTTCTGTTACCCTAGCCTGGTATCACATTCGAGTGTCCAATCTGACTTATTAAAGACTACGCGAATATACCAAAACACAGGTATATAGTAACATCATACTTTAAATACCTCCGGTGAAAAGTCCTGGAAAAGCGGATTCTGAAAAAAGAAATTTGACACAACAATTAAAAAGAGCCCCAGTTTCAGTGCAATATTTACTGATAGCTTTCTCGTTATCTGCAATCCTGGCCAAATTTCGATCAATTTGACGACAAAGCTGTGGGGTGAAACATCACTTTTCCTAATCTATTCTTCCTTTCCGCCTTCCGTAAAATTATGTCGAATCTTTGGCGGCCCGAGTTTAACATTCAGTCCGAGGCAGCTAAAATGCTAAATGTGGTGAGATAAACAGCAAGTGTCGGCAATGTTTTGACCAGAACTGTTGTCTAAGTAATGTATTCCTCTCCTGGTAACGTTGATGGAACAATTATATACGCCGCAGCTATAGCCCCATTTACACTACGCACAATTTTTTATACGAGTTGAAAAAATAGTACGAATAAAATTTTGATTGTCCAATTACTAGCAAAACTCCAACCGTACCACAACTAAAATCGTTCGTAGTGTAAACGTTCACACAAGATGAATTCAAGATCGTCTACGTGTATACGCCGGGAAACCGGACGAATTCGTCGAAACACGGTCCAGAATTTGTCAGGTGTCTGAACCTATACAAATGACTAACCATTCTCTGGTTCATCAACTTGATCAACAAGTGTTCGAGTCGTCTTCGACTGCCAGTCATACTAAAAACAAAAAGTAGGATTACAGTAGGAAATTGTCTCATGTTGCAGGACAAACTATTTTTTTCAGATATAAACAAATGTACTAGTCTCGTCTAATCTAATTCAAATTTGATACAATTTAGACTTAATTAATAACTAATTGCTACAGAGAAGGGTAAAGGGAAAAAAATCCAGTTTCCTATTATACACGTCTACGATGTTTTGCGTTCAATATTTTTAATATAAAAATGCAATTTAGAAAATGACTTCAATATACGTACCATTAAAATTTTCTTACAACATAAATGAGGACCATACAGCATTCTAGATACGTATATCTGAAAAAAATTTCTGAACTTAACAGCTTTAAGGATGCTCATTAAATCATTGCAAGACCTGTTAATTTCATTTATGTCGCTTTATTAACCCTCAAATTCACATACAAGTTTACTTTCATCCGGGGATAATCTGGGAAAACAAACTGATTCTGTTCCATCACTCAAAATTTCTACAAAAAATGTTATCATTCTTTCAAATCGCATGTTTAAGGAGGAAAAGAAATAAAATCAGATTTGAACTTGTTGAATCACGTTTTTAAGGTCCACCCAATGTTACATGCCAATGTTACTCAGTTTTCGCGCCAAGTTGCTGAACAAAGAATTTTGCCTGGGGGAAAGGTTTGAAAGCATTCTCCTTTGATATTTAAAGCAAGAAATATATATATATATATATATATATATATATATATAGTTGTAGCGTTTAGACAAACCACAAGATTTTCCATCCAGAGATAAATAGTAAATACCACTCCTATGTAAAAAAATAATGGGCAGGTTAGATTTGGATATAGATATTTCTCTTATTATCACCCTTCTCCAATCTCCATGGTTTCCAAGAACTAAATGCGCACGTTATATGATTATTAAAAAAATTATGACATTAAGTTCCCAGAAGAATTTAGTTTTTGCGACTGCCATAGCCTATAGTATACAAACTTCTTACTTTCTATTATGACAATATTTTAACCCCAATCTGTAAGGTTTATGATGTTGACCGCAAAATATAACACCATTTCCATCAGGTGCCCAGATTGCCTAAAATATAAAAAATAGAAAATAAGTCTGTCTGCTTTCTTCCCCAATTGACAGGGTTTATAACAATTAGGTTTAACAGCAGCCACCCACTGGAACATGAGACTTTAATTTTGGCTATTGTGAAACATCTTCTCACAAATTGTAAAAAATTTGCATGCAAGTAGGTATTGCACTAGCCTATACTGCAAGCAACATTGCACCAAAATTGGAAAATTAGTGGTAATATCACTAATATGGTTGGATCATCCTCGTTAGTAGTGACATTGAAAAAGTCGTAAGAGTGGGAAGCTCTGCAATTAAGTGATTAGATGTTTCGGCCCACAATTACCTGGCCAGCACAGATGTTTTCTGGTATTCCATCTAATATTCTGATTTCATCTTTTTCTGTATCCAAGACAACTAAGACTGTCATGTGGATGCCAACCAGTTGCTCACCCCAATCTTCTTGGTACACAAATTTCCTACCCTGTCAGTGTATGGGTATTGAAGCCTGATAAACATTTTCCATGTACATTATTGATCATTCCCAAATATATTATATATATGTTAAATGCTTATGATCAAACTATCGACACACAGCTAGGGTAGAGCTTGCTGATTATCTTAATTCAAATATTAACAACATTTACCTTTTCAACTTTATCTTCAGTTTTTTCATCTTTTTTTGCTAAAATTTAGGTGTCATAATTTGTTAGGCAATATATCTAGCATGATGAATAACTTTGCAATTAATGATCACATTGTAAACTGATCATTCATCCTTCAGCATACCACATTTAATTGCATGCCATCACAAAGGAAAGGTAAGCTCAATTGCACAAAATGTTAAGTCAGAACTTACTGTCAAAAAATGAGCAGGCTTCAGGGACTTTCTTTTCAGCAATATATAACAAATATCTTTCACATGGTGACCATGTAAAACAGCCAAACAGATCTATATCATAGAAATAAAATATACATGAACAAAATTTATTAATTTGGTCATTATGTCTTGCAATAAAAATCAGTAGATCTTCTTAGACAAATCTTATATATAAATTGAAATAACCATCATGATTTATTTTTCCATGCTTGTCAAGGACTCTGTCAAATGTATAGCACTTTATACAACTCCCATTGGACCAGATCTATAAATATAAAGGAAGAAATGTACTGTATTGAATAATGCCAAACAATCACAGTAGTACTAGAAGAAATAACCTCAATATTTTGAGTGTCTTCCTTTTTTTTCTTGTCGGCAGGAATCTTTCTTAGAATGGCTCTCAATTGACCAGATTTTGACTCACAACACATTTGTCTAAAATTGCAAGTTGATAAATGTTTGAGTATCAAGATTGTATAGAATAACCCAGACCACACAATTTCTAGATTTCATAATTTCTATGCCTCATTTTACTCTTCCACAGAAAGTTTTGGATTAAGTTGGACAATATTATTCGACATAGGCATACAGGTTAAAAAATGAGGGGGTCAAAATGTTGCCACAAAATATGGCAAAAGTAGTAGGTTTTCTAGGGTAGTTTACCACCTAGGAAAAATATTAAAATTCAGAAACTCCATTTGCCACCAATTTGGGGTTGAACTTTTTTTTAAGCTAAGCTTTTCCAGCACAATTTACCTAAAACATGACTACGAACTACCTAAATTACCCCATTCCACCAAATTGGGTGTGGCTGCATCCCCCAGGTCACCATGGGTTTTTATTCTAATATCAAAAAAACTTACTCATTGTCTGTTTGTGTCGGAAAATTATCCTTAAAACATTTTTGATAATCAATGTTACTGCTGTTGCTGTTGTATGGATAGTGAAACTTTCGACTGAATGTCCTTTTGTTGTTACCCACTAAGTTTCTCTGTGACCAAATGCTGTAAATGCTCAAGATATCATTATTTATAGACATTGTGCCACTGCTAATGTTAGGAATTGAGGCACATTTTCGATACAAGGCGACTGCTTCCTCTTGAATTTTCTAAAAGATTGACTGACTTTAAGTATTATATAAAATTAATATAAAATAATTATTAAAAAAGAATAGGATATAGATTGGACATAGATTACCTGAAGATTGGACATTTTGCAACGGCGTCTAAAAAATCGTGAATATTAAAAGAACAAATATTGTATATCTCAGTGATTGAAAGATTCACAAAGCTGTAAATAGTACTAAATACGACCACTGGCTTCAAAAATCGAAATTATAGATTGTTCCATTTATGTGCAAAAATGAAAGCAAAAATGACATTCGTAGCATGTGACATGGAATACTTTATGTTATGTATTTATTTTGTCTTCTATATAAAGTGGGTTTTGATCAAAGTTATACCCAACAACGGGCGATTTTAAAGCGATTGTAATAAAAACCACTATCCGGTGAATAGCGCTATCCGGCTTTCATACAACTGGCCCCAGGTCAGTTCAACTAGAATAAAGCCGATTGTAATTGATAATTAAAAAAATTTGATCGATACTTTAAAAATGTAGCCGATTTAAATTTAGCCACACTATGGTGCGGTTTACTTTGATATTGAATGTTCCAGCTTTGGGTGTTTGATAAAGTATCAAAATTAAATAAAAAAACATGTGTTTTATTTCACGAGAGGTAATTACCAAATTATTCGATTTTACAATTCAAATTTATATTCCAATTTTTATATAGTTCCAGTTTTGCAAAAATCCTCTTTAATTTTATTCAGTTTTTCTCAAATTTCTCTAAGCCAGACATACAAGTTCTCGACGAAACTCTTTCTTAATACTCATCGCCTTCTTCGCCTCCCAATTCGTCATCCATAGTATCCATGCCGACTTCTTCATAGTCCTTTTCAAGGGCGGCTAAATTTTCACGTGCCTCGGTAAACTCTCCTTCCTCCATTCCCTCACCCACATACCAATGAACAAAGGCTCGCTTGGCGTACATCAGATCAAATTTATGGTCCAACCTTGCCCATGCTTCGGCTATGGCAGTAGTATTGCTCAGCATACATACGGCACGTTGAACTTTGGCCAGGTCTCCACCAGGAACGACTGTTGGTGGCTGGTAATTTATTCCGACCTAAAATGAATTTTTCAGGATTATCTAAGGCACGACTTTCCGTTGGTTGTTCGTTTATGTAATAATGGAACACTCGTGCGAAAACTTCTTAAAACATTGTTTAAACTTATTCCCTTTCTAACTAGCACGTCTAACCATGTTCACTGGTCTAACCTTGAAGCCAGTTGGGCACCAGTCTACAAACTGTATAGTACGCTTTGTTTTTATCGTTGCTATGGCAGCGTTAACATCCTTGGGTACGACATCGCCACGATACAGCATACAACATGCCATGTATTTGCCATGCCGCGGGTCGCATTTCACCATTTGATTTGCTGGATCAAAACACGCGTTCGTTATTTCGGCGACGCTAAGTTGCTCGTGGAACGCTTTCTCGGCTGAGATAACTGGAGCATAAGTCACCAACGGGAAATGAATTCTAGGGTAGGGGACCAAATTTGTTTGAAATTCGGTCAAGTCGACGTTGAGCGCACCGTCAAATCGCAACGACGCGGTAATTGAGGATACAATCTGACCAATCAGACGGTTCAGGTTAGTGTATGTAGGTCGTTCGATGTCCAAGTTTCGACGGCAAATGTCGTAAATGGCTTCATTGTCCACCATGAAAGCGCAATCGGAATGCTCCAAGGTTGTGTGAGTCGTTAACACGGAATTGTAGGGTTCCACGACTGCTGTTGAAACCTATCATATGAAACCATATCAGGTAGCGCAAATTGTTACTACATACAGACTTACAGTGCTCAAAAGTAGGGTGAAGGTAATTGAAGAAGAGGACTGAACCCGCATGTGGTAATAATACGGTCTCACAGAATATAGAGGTAGAATCACCTAGTTGCCCAAAGTAGCTGAACCCTATTACGTGAGAAATTTTGACAGTTTGGTGAGGCAAAATCATTGCAATTCGCCTGGCATCCTTATTTCGACACGTTTACAACAAAAGTTCATCGAACCGGTGGTATTTGAGCAGCGTCTCGCATGTGGACGCAGCTTGAGTATAAACTGACTTTTGTTCCGCTATTACCAATACCTATTAAACTCCGATCAAGCTCTAGTTTGTGATCCCAGCTTGATCCGCACTATTAATTGTGTATTATTCAATGGTGTTTACCTGTGGAGCGGGATAAACAGAGAACTCCAGTTTGGATTTCTTGCCATAATCCACAGACAAGCGTTCCATCAGCAAAGAGGTAAAACCTGAGCCCGTGCCTCCTCCAAATGAATGGAAAATAAGAAAACCTTGCAAACCTGTGCATTGATCAGCCTAAAGGATGATAACGATTAGATGAATGTATCTCGAGACGCCAAATGACACAATCCATATGTTCTCCATAGGTCTTCCAACTTAAACTCCTGGCTACGCTACAGGCTTACAGATTTTTATCATTAAGTGCACGTGCGCGTTTATTCCTTTCGTGCTGAAAGTTAATTGGGACTAATTAGCGCTGATTAGAATTAATTACCTAATTAGCCTTTCTCACGATGATGAATATGCTGCCATTTTTGGAGTACTTTTTTTCAAAACCACAAGCGTGAGACCTCATAACGGCCACAGTCTTTAATTTTAGGCTGTAGTTATTCTTCAAATGGTTTAATGGTTTTAAAAAAATTGCCTTTCATGTTTAATCATAATTTTTTAACTCATTTTGACAGAAAATTGAAAGTACCCCAAAACGTCATCGTGAGAAAGGCTAATTCAGCGCGACTGCTGTTCGAGTTTAAAGATTAAAAATGACATCTAAAACGAATAAAGGTTTGATTATTGATTCAAATTTGTCGTACATGATAGCAAATTAAAAAGGCCAACGCACCATCTTACGAATTCTGTCTAAAACCAAATCAACTATCTCCTTGCCGACAGTGTAATGACCCCGGGCATAATTGTTTGCAGCATCTTCTTTGCCTGTTATCAGTTGTTCCGGATGAAACAACTCACGATATGTTCCAGTACGAACCTCATCTGAAAATAGCAAACAATACGATTGAACTATGCTATGCTATTATATGCTATATGCTATATGCTATATGCTATATGCTATATGCTATATGCTATATGCTATATGCTATATGCTATATGCTATATATGCTATAGACAGCAGACTGATATACTAACTGATATACTAACCGACAACTGTTGGCTCAAGGTCCACAAAAACAGCTCGTGGAACGTGTTTTCCCGCGCCAGTTTCACAGAAGAAAGTGTTGAACGAGTCATCACCGCCGCCCAGAGTTTTATCGGACGACATCTGACCATCTGGCTGTATACCATGCTCAAGGCAATACAATTCCCAGCAAGCGTTTCCAATTTGGACTCCAGCTTGGCCAACATGAATTGATAAACACTCTCTCTAAAGAATGTAATATGTTTTAGTATATTACATAATAAACTCAATTGTTTTACAGTGTTCCACAATACCAAACACAAAACTTTGTAAAATTACATAAATAAAAAGTAATGAATACAATAGAATCTCTCTGCTTAATCCCAATCTTGCTTAACTTGGTTTTATTTCTTATATGCTGTTTTCCACAGAAGTTAGTAGCTATATTCATGTATCAACATACCATTCTTGTAAGCAGATGTTAATAATTTACATCAACGCACGCGTTATTTTCCTTAAACCTGGAACTGCTAATCAGGTTGATTGAATTACCAATTAGAACTCAATTAGAACTAATTAAGTTTATGACGTCATTTTAATGCGTCGATCGCCCAAATTGTGGAAAACAAAAATATATCTAACTGGAGTAAATAAAAACTATGGAATATTCGCAACCTACACTTCTGCGATAAGAGCTGATCCTCCGGAATCACATAGGTGTAGATTCCGATTCCCGCCAAAGGCCGCAAGTTTTATTTTCGCAACGTTCCCGGGTAGCCTTTCTACCGAAAAACATCTAATTTAAACTTGCAAACGCGGCATCCATCAGCTCAATAATAATTTAGTTAATATATAACGTTCTCAGGAGATTCATAAACATCGAGCACTAATATTCAGCGCGGGTACTCAGGTACTGTTATTCAAATTGTGCTGCAGTGAACTATTTTGACTAACGCTGGATCGGTCACCGAGCAAGCTATTGGTTAGTGATTTGTTTCTATTTGCACTTTTATCAACACTTTCAACACTGGCTATGAAAATTACATGGATACATTTTTAACTACTTAGTCAATTAAGTTACCACATCGAATTGAGTTTTATCATGATTATTTCACTGATAAAATCAAATTAGTCAAACTAACTCACCATTTTTTATCGGTAAAAAGAAATCTTCAAAGCAACGTGAAGAGTACACGAAATTCAGTCGTGCGTAATCAGCTGCGTAATAAACCTTCTAATTTGACCCTAATTAGGTCTAATTGCTTAAATAAGGCATGTTATTACATTACGTAGACTAATTGACAACTGAGAATGTTGATCTCAATGTCTCTGGATAGGAGAGTTTTGATATCCCAAGATATCCTACCTGATCACAAAACTCGTCTGTCAACCCCATCCTCTGCGACATAGTACTTTCGCGGTTCTTCAATTTTCGCGTCACATTGCGTTTTCCTCCAGTGATTTTAAAAACTTTTCCGACAGTTTGTTGAAATTTTCTTGCTAGCTTTCTCTTTCCACAACCTATTTCTGAATTTGCGTGCTTGAGTAAGGGCTCTGTCGCATCTGCGATCAAATGTTGCTCGGTTTCAACCAGTTTCTGTTTAAAGGAAAACTGATATCAAAGCCCTGCTGCAGCATTGCAGCTTACAGGATATTAGCTACATTTTGGTGGGAACATAAACCATGAAGTATTTTCCCCCTAAAGAGTATAGGATAATCTTAAATTTTCTATTCTGCGAATTGGGAAACCGATTAATCAAGATCGTGTAGGTGCAGTTGCCCCATCCCGTCTCCGTTTCATCTTGCAATTGCCCTAGCATAATCATGCAAGCATGGTATTTGTATCGCAGAGACACCCTGGTGTAAAGCATCGAGTATTGGTTATCTTTTGATCATGTACTTTGATGGCACCTGTCGTCAAAAGACAGTAAGGATAAGGACATACACTGACAGACATTTGTAGTTTACTCCATGGAGTTCAAATTTCCTTAGCCGGAATAGCCCCTGCCTTGGCTGCCTAACAAGTTCCACAATCACCCAGTGGCCATTCAGCGATTAGACCAACAAATAATTAGCACCTCTTACCATTCCGTCTTGTGTTGCTTTGATATACATTGGTTCAGCGTCCTTCAGTTCAGAGACACCTTTTAGTCGAAATTGCTGCCAGTCTTTCAATGTTCTCTTTTCTTTCATAAATGGTTGGTGTTCAGTTTTTTTGGTATTCTTTATGCTTTGAAAACTATATAATTCAGACTCCTTAGTCTTCAATTGCAAATCACTTTTGAATCGTAATTCACTGAACGTCTCAGGCGCGAGGAGAGGTTTAATTTCCGATTTCCTGGTCGCACTTTTGTAATGTTTCTCTTTCGATCTATTTTCGTGTAATTCAGCGTCAGAAGAATCCAATTCAAAGCTATCAGTCTCATCTCCAAATTCTTTAAAAGGCTTTATTTCCATTAGTTCGATGCTTACTGGATTTTTTCTCCATTTACAACTCCTCCTTTCTGTTTAAAGGAAGTTATAACAGCCCAATTATTTACAGGGCGAACATGTAGAAGTGAGCGTGCATGCATGCAGGGGCATCCGGGGGCAGTTTCTCTGAAAAATATGCAGCTTGTGATTTTTTAATTAGATGGAGAAAATTATAATTTACTTGTGCCCCATTACCCGTACGACCCTTAGCACAAAAATCCTGCGCACGCCAATAAGTATATATACATGCATGACTGCAAGCCGGGAAAGGTGGTAACTGCATGACGTGGAAATATAACTGAGTGAAAAATGCTCTTGTTATATGGAATAGTTTCGGATTCGGATTTGATCTAAACACGAAGTTTGTGAATTAGTCAGTAATATTTTATAGATCTTTGAATTCGCCTGACTGCCAAAAATCGATTGCAAAATAATTCAATTTGCGGCGTGGAAGCGGTTTTGCACATTTTTTCATCATTTTTTAGTATTCCTACAAGAGTAAAGGATGAAGCGAAGGTGTAGCAGACTATAGCTAAGCACTTATGAATCTTAACTCACTATATAGTCATGAAGCAGCGTGCTAATATACCAAGTCTAATTAAAGTTAGGGAAATAAGGAAGGGCACTATAGTATCGCGGTTCAATTCAAATATTCAGCCTACATGCTTTCGGCTACTTTGAATAATGGTCCGCGGAGCCGGGAATATATAATCTCTGGATGTACTCTAATCAATCATGGAAATCGATGTGATTCCATGAGTGCCATGATAGTGATGAAACCACTAATTCATAATGAATAACGTGAACGGCTTTTGGTCTATTCATCTCAATGCATGAACGGCTTTTGGTCTGACCACATTTAACAAAACTGACAGGCATCATTTTATCTTTCAACATTCAACATCAATTATTTAGTAAAACCGGCAAGTTTAATTTAAAGAAATTACTAATTTTTGGAAAACTCAGCGAATTATTGTATCGTTGGAGTCAAAATTAAGGCGATAAAAATCTTTAGCTCGACGCCGCAGTTCAGTATAGAGTTAGATATATCAGTTATATAAATCGCAGTTTAGAGTCAGCTGTAGACTATTAAATGTTGAAATCAGCTGTTTAAGATTGAGCATAATAAATTAATAACGTAGCTCATTTGAAGACTGAAGATCTTGCTAAACTGCGATTTCCAGTTTGCCATTTGCCTAAGGTTCAAGCTTTAAGCATGCAGGAGCGCGCATGCGGGGCGTGGGAGCCTCAATACACCCCAACTTTGGCAGGATAGTCAGTAAATGCGAAGTTGGTCGCCGGTAACCGCCATATATAATTGCTACCAACGTCCATAGGTTTAAGAGCAATTCCTGCTTAGTTGCTTGCAACAATTATAGACTCATTTGTCTATTGATAAATCGCTTTTAATGTAAAAAAAATATTTTCTTATAAAGTTTCTCAATGTCCCATCATCAGTTACGTGCGCTTCCAAAACTGACCGAGAGGGTATATGTGCTTTCTCTCGAGTCTCGATGCGCTTCGAGGTATACCACGTGTTTGTCGGTACAACTTCGGTGTTACACGCCCAGTGCACTTAAGATTGTTCGACAACGCCCTGGTTATAGGTCTTTATGCAGTCATTGAACATGAAAGATTAACTGCAGGTTGTGAGAATACATTTAAATCGGTTCAGATGTCGTATATTTAGAGAATGCTGTCTTTTTTACAAAGTTTAACACAACACATTAACGTTGTTTAATAGGTATGTTGAAACTATAAATTATTTATATAATACTTTGATTATAAATATACCCTGGCTTTGACACCACCTTATAAGAAACTTGTCGGGACAAGCAGAGACGAAACTACACACTGAAAACCAGGTTGATGAAATAGTATATTGTGTAGACTACGCGAACGTGAAGCGTTGCAGCACAAATTGCATATGATAACAAGAGCTAACATTTTTCACTCCACGTTTTACTTCACGTTACTGAAGTTAGCTACCACCTGAAGTTAGCTACCATACTGAAAGTAGATTCGTATGTACTCTTATATAAAAGAACTCTTAAAACCATTAATAACGTATTTTTCATTTTTTTTCATATATTTATCTTTGTTATCGAGATAACATGCATGTACCAACACTGGCACAGCTAGCCTAAACCACTTCTCGCCCGGCATTGCGTTCTTGCGGGGCTTTATTCGCACGAAAAAGCATTTTTCGTTCGAAGCTAATGAAGAAAAATACTAAGAAGGGGCGTTTTCTTGTTTCAGTTAAGTTGAGTTGATTTCAGTTAAGTTGAATCGTGCTTACGGTTTAAGAATGGCAAATGTTCTCGACGAAGTGATTTCGCTTTCTTTAACATCTCAGCATAACGAGTCTTTTCCATTTGTTCATACTCTTGACATAGTTCCTCTACGTCAGTTCCACTTCTGTCGTCATGACGACCATGATCATGATCTGAACTTCCGGTTGTGCGAGGCCTGGGAAACCATTTGAATGCTGAATGGGGAGATCCGATCTTTTGCCCGCGTTTATCAGGAACGTGAATTCGGCTTCCGTGGTAAGCGTGTGATTCTTGTGGGCTAGAAACTCCCGTGTGTTCCCTCGCGTAAGTGTCCCGCTTGTGTCGTCTCGGGTGTCTGTCTGGGGCGTGACCCCCCGTGTAAGGTTCCCACTTGTGAGCATCCTTCGCGTGAGTGCCTCGGGTTTGGTCCCTCGTGGGAGTCACAGACTCAACAGGATCTAAAAAATTGACCTTTCTCTTGCTGTTTTTACGCGTATCGAAGTCATCATTCGGCGAAATGCGTTTTTCAAAACTTGCGCTTGGGGAGATCGATTCTTCGGTACTTTTTTCGCGAAAATGAAAAGTTCCAGGTTGAAAACGGGATTGCATTCGTAGCTGTCTTTTTGCTCGATGTGCAGCCCCGATGAATTTTGACGTTGCAACTACTTTTCTAATTGAAACTGAAGTTTCCTTGCGTCGGGCGCTAGGTGATACACTCGCCGGTGGACTGTTACTTTTCTTCGAGTTAGAACCGAGGTTAAGAGTGTGTGGACGTTGTTCCGGATGCTGATCGACGCTCAGCTGACGGCTTGGTAACGCAGGGCTAGTTGAATGCTCCCCTGGGCTAACAACATTTTCGGAAGAGCCTAGGAACTTTGTTTGACGTTTAAGCTTGCGTTGAGCTGAAGAGCAATCGTCTCTTGCTTCTGGTTTCAATGTCTGTGGACACACCTGGTAAAAAAATTATGAAATCACATTATTTATGAAATTTAATTTACGTTGTTGCAGTTTAGGTTTCCGGCTGCATGTAATTAGTTTCATGAAGCAATAGGCCGTTAACTGAATGAAAACAGTAAAAATGCATTTGGACAGAAGAAGATCGAATGAAAGTTTTTTTGTATTGAAGACAATTAGTTTGTGTAAATGCGGAGATAAACATTTAGAAATCCCTTCTAAAAAAATTAGACTGAGAATGACGTGTAATTGATGTTGAACTGATTAGGCTATATGCAAAACACAAACACTTAAATTCCTTCTGAGGCGGTCAAACCCGATCGAAAACTAAAATATTTCATGATCGAGAGGCATGAGAGAATATGCGTTTCACAGAGGAAAGCATTCTTCCAGCCTGGGGCCGGTTGTATCAAGCCCGTTTAGCTTAAACGGTTGTTAAGTTCAAAATAGAAAGCAAGTCTATCGTTTTACTCAACAAGCAAACTAAATGTTTTTAACCTTAATACAAAGATACTGCTTACAACTACATATTCAGTGCACAATATTCAAGTTGACTCATTCAAGAGGGATGTAAGAGTGTTATTTAATTTTGGCTTATCCGCCGTTTAAGCTAAACGGGCTTGATACAACCGGCCCCTGCACTGCAAATCGTCCCACCTGGACACTGTATATAGAGTAAGTACATTTAATAATCACTGCGCGTGCTAAGAAAAAATACCTACTTTATATTTATCTAATGAAATTTTTTCGGTTCCGGCCCATTTAACACTCTGCCCATGTGCAGGAGCACTTGCAAATGATGCAGCTTTGGACACATCTGCTTCCTGGTCGACACTTTCTCCTGTTTTTTCGCTACTTGAGTCATCTTCGGTAGGTGGAAGATAAGGAGTACTGGATTCCAGGTAATAATAGTCCTCGTTATACAGTAGGTCGAGTATGCTTTCTAAAGAATCATCGTGTCTTTTACGTTTTTTTCTTCGCCACATATAGAAACAGTGTTTAAACGTGAAGAATCCGCAGAATGAAAGGAAAAGAACCATGATACCAAACATTGCAAACTCGAAAACTGCGGCAGCTAAAAATGAAACGATAACAATCAGTGATTTCATACTAGAAGGAGAATGATTCGTAGGAAGATGTTAATCTTATAGACGGGAAACAGTTTCATTAAAGCCTGCGTGCTAGCTAGTATGTCTTCGAAAGACTTCGTTGTCGTTTTTTAACCCTGAAATGCCACACAAATTCAGTTTATTGAGATTATAGATATTTCAGGGCGAGGTAAATTCCAAAAACTGAGCATGTAAAGGCCAAAGAAAAAAAATAACATAATTTGACTACATTTAAACTTACAAAGAATACGACTTCGATTCTTTGAATTAGTTTAGCTACTAGTCGTTCAACTAATTTAGATGCTGTGCATGTACCTTCAGTAACGAGTTAACTTTGAAAGTGAAAATGCATTTAAACACAAACGTCCTGTCTAAAAATAGTCTAAATACAGATTATAAACAGCCACAGGTGTTTCAGTCGATTTAAGTCCAACAATTTAACAAGTTTATATATATTTATAACATTTTGCGCTATTTTCTACTTACCGGACAATACATCTTTCATGTCGCTTTGGTATACCAAATCCGAAAGATTTACATTAAATTCCCCTACTTACGAAGCATGACAATCGCACAGTCAAAGTAAAAACACCGCAACAATTAATTTTGTTCTGAAATTTCGTCTCGCCACAGAGCAATACGTTCACACCAAAATGCAAATGATACGAACGTCAAATTTCATAACCAAATTGTTGCCTTATCGCAACTTCAGATCAAATATTTGTATGCAGTCTTGTGACTTTCACCGCGTAGAAGTTCTTCATTGCGACCACAAGTTAATAAGAATATAGTGGATGTATATTAATGCAAAGACGCCCCAAAACAACATTTTTTTAAGTAAAAATGTGTTTCCACAATTATAAGCTTAATTTGAAATTTTGTTTAGAGTTTTGCACTGTCATTAAAATATTTGCATAATTTAATAATAAATATTCACCACATCGCTAAATGAATTTTTATCATTAAAATTTCATCGTCACTCAGTCCGCAACATTTCGGGCCGCGTTATGCTGTTTCAATACTGAGTAGTTCGTAGGCTTGGTTAAAGTTTCTTTCATTGTTATATATACTATATATATCCGGGACAAACACATGCACAAACCAAATAACGTTTAATATAAGCGTTTAAAAACACTGAAATTGGATCATTCAGAGAGACACATGCAGTCAGAGTGCTTTTATGAATTATGACATATGGGCAAACATATATAGTCATATAGAACACCGTGATATGTACAACACACAACAATTCACTGTTTGTATCATGCATAAAAAAAATGAAGGATCGAAGCCGAAGGCGGTTACTGACAAACGGATTAAAATATGACACAATTGACGATTCTTGTCTGTCTTTTAAACGAAAAATATTATCAAGCATTGATTTCTTTGTCTTGACTTTGTCCTACATAATTTATTCACCATATTGACACTACTTTGTGGCAATAGTCAATACATTTTACAAAAGAATATAGAAGTAGTACATGCACACATTACAACATATCATTTATAGACTAGTATAGAGTACACATAGCACAAAATTTGGAAGTAATTGTCATTTGACAGAATATTTCCAGAAGCATCACTCAATCTACTTACGACCAATTGTGAATATAAATCCGCCTCGAAATTTGAATATAGCTTTAATCTTTGATGCCAATTTCGAGTGCAAATTGCATTCAATTGCTCCAAATTTAAGCCTTTAAAAACAAAATACAGCAAATTGGTGAAATTCACCTTTAATCTGTAAAATATGCAATCTCAATTACCTTATGCGACAGCAGCAGTTGTTAATTTTATACCGTAAATCGAAACTTAGTCTTTGAGTTATCAATATGATAAAGTGCCGAGATAAATATATGCAACATCACGATTTGAAGTTGCTTTAAATTTTAATCTCAAAACTTTTGTTAGGTCAGATATACATAAATTGCAGTTCAAGGGTTACGCCGATGGCGATAGCAAAGATACTTTCAGGGAAGCTTTTATATCGATCAACATTATGTTAATGGAGTGTAGACAAGAACAAAGCACAAAGGCAAAGCAAGAAACACAGATAACGTTAGAATCAGGGCAAACCTTTACTTTTCACTTTTTGTGTTACACAGAAAATCTCCTAAGAATTTCAACTTCTTATCACATATTACATTTACAACACTACTGAAGCATGGCTATTAATATTATTACCATGTATAGTATGCTCAAAGTCATTAGTCTAGGACCACGCCGATGGGCATGGTGAAGTTGAAGACCGGGAATGTGTTTGTGAAATTGACTGCTACTGACGTGCAAAACAAATCATGTATAAAATTCCTTTTATTATACAGAAAATTAGCCACTGAAAAATGGTTGATTCTAGAGAAGCATATACCTGTATGCATAACTATATATGGCTAACGCGGATAACGAATAAAAAAGTATATAAAGACCCGAACTTTTCATCATTATAGAATGTCATCAAAGATTGTAAATGCTTTCTACTGGCATAAAGTCCTAAATTTCCATCTCCCCCCAAAAATGAACTTGTTTTATTTTCAATTAACACGAACGCGCCACAAATATGCCAAAAACATGCAACCATATAATCTATATATATAATACATTATTCCATATAATCCTTTAATGTAACATCAACCAAATCATCAGTTTTTATCAGAGGGGAGCTTGTATACTTTTTTTCTAATATCAGCGCGACAGTGATCATTAGGTTTATTTAATCACTTATTATTCACAGAGGGGACCGATGTAAACATTTTGATGCATGTTATATACGGTGGGGGATGATGTAAACATTTAATCAGGTAATGGGATTTGAAAAAAAATAAAACAAACTTCGACGTCTGTCAATGCTCGTCGTAAATATTAAGAGATTCTTCCACTGTTGAAAGATCTTTCTTGGAAGACCCTGTTTAAAAGATCAAATCCCATCTTTTTAAAATTTATAAATAGCTTATAATAACATAATTTATTGGAGGTTTCTTCCTCTGTTGCCATTTGTTGAAAGGACAAGTATCTAAATCAAGAAGTTACAGTCGATGATACATCACCCGGAATAACATTAAGCCCAGGGTTATGTGGCAAACCGAAGACAGTCAGGAGAACGAAGGATAAGAATATTACAGTTGAATAACGCCTTATGAACGTTGTTAAATTTGTGTCTTCTCGATCTTTGCGATTCGGGAGCAGTGCTCTCAGGGGCCGGTTGTATCAAGCCCGTTTAGCTTAAACGGTGGATATTTAAGTCCAAAATAGAAAGCAAGTCTGCCGTTTTATTCTAGTGCGTCTGTGCACAGGCTATTTTATTCAACAAGCGAACAAAATGTTTTTGACCTTAATACAAAGATACTGTTTACAACTACATATTCAGTGCATAATATTCAAGTTGACTCATTCAGGAGAATTGTAAAAGTGTTATTTAATTTTGAATTATCCATGGGATTGATACAATCGGGCCCAGAACTATTAAAGCCAGCAGCCGGTTTAATTTGCATTATCCTATAGAGATTACAAAATCTGATTACAAAATGCATGATGCACTAAGGAGTGTCACTGGTAGCGTCACACGAAAATTGGTTGATGACAGTTGGCAGTATAATCATGGGTGTGTGTGCCAAAAAAAAACCTTCAAAAAAAATAAATTGGCCACAGCCATTTAAATACTATCAAAAATGTTTGTCCCAATATTTTTTAACGCTAATCACTTGCGCGAGCAATTTCGCTTAGTGGAAAAACAGGCGTGACGACTATTTGATATTAGCGAATCTGATACGAGGCATTTAATATTGTGCGTGTGTGTGTGAGCATAGACTATGGTGTGAGGCACTGTTCTCATGGTATACCTTTAGTCTGCTGGGGCCAATTGTTCAAAAGGCGGCTAGCTTAACCCTGGGTTGACTCATCTGGAAATTTTCACATCACTCTCCCTGGAAACTTTCACATCAATTTTTTAATCGCTCGTTTATGAGCGTTTAACATGTTTTCCATAAATATTTTGTGGATCAATAGAAGTCTTATTTTGTAAATGCTATAAAAGAAGGCAGCAGAGTAAAATTTAACCCAGGGTTAGCGCTAACCTAGCTTTGAACAATCGGCCCCTGAACAGTAGACACATATTTAATAGTCTACTATTGTATGTGGTGTGCAGTGTCCAGGGGGTATATTCGTAAAACACAAGGGTTAGTTGTCAACAGATGACCAAAAATATGTCACATATTTTGTGGAGTCGCCTTTAAACACATTGACTTTGTTTATTTGGAGAAGTTTATTTCACAACATAACAGACAAATCTATTGCATCTTTGCATTATTTTACTTTCTTGTTGTGTTTCTTAGAGAATCTCATATTTCTGAGATATTTTGGGTCAACCTATAGGAAAGATATAAAACTAATTACTAAACTCCATGAGCCAGTTGTTCAAAAGATGGTTATCTTCCACTGGGTTAATGCAAATCTTTAGTTTAAAGTTTTCAACTAGATCAATATAAGTCCTATTTGGTTTTAAAATAGCAGTGCTGAAGCACAACTAAAATAGCAGATTTAAAATTAACCCAGAGTTAGCGCTAACATAGCTTTGAACAACTGGCTGCAGATTTTCAAATAGCATACAAAAAATAAAAAGAATTTCACAGTTGTGACTTAATGTTGAAAATTAATATAATATGACTATTAGGTATGGTGCATTTCTAGAAATTTAGGAACATGGTTTGTTATCAAAGAGAAATAAATGGCCTACCCATACTACCAATAAATATTATCTAGGGTTTGTTTTAAAATAAGCCTAGATCTTCTTAAATATCAATCATGATATTATTTAAAAACGCAGTTGGTAAAATTAGGTAATGTTTTCTCTACACAAGCATAATGGTATAGGACGGTACAAACATCTATTATGACCATATGCCGCATGTTAAGTTGAGCAATACTCTGAGTACCATCTTCCAACTAGGTGAATGAAATAGTAATCTAGCATATTCAAACCAGAGTAGAGGTTTTGTATCACACAACTGACACATCAGGTACGCATTATGCAATTCCAATGTCTTTTTATACTTAAACAGTCAAGTTACAATGTGTTGCTAGACCTGTTCAATAGTATTATTTTGCATGGTGTCAAAGCATTTAAAACAATGGCAGCACTTACTCCTTTCAAGGATGGATATCTCTGTGTTTTTGGCTTCTTGATACCTTTTCTATGCCATTTTTTTGCTATGGAAGGATTTTATAAACATTTACTATAACATCGTATTTAAGATCGACATCATACATATGAATACATTTACCAAAATTCAAATACCGATATGGTTTCAAAGTACAGTTTATATACCAAAAAAATTTCAGTGTTCATTTTAACTACTTTTGCTGAGATAATTTACAACATCATGATTATAAACCTACACTGGTTGTGTGCTGTGTGATTCTTCGACTTCGCCATCTTGATAGAACAGTTCAAAAAAACAGACCTCTTT